TGTTTTTTTTACTTCTAAATTTACCTCACAGCCCAATTCTGCAATTTCCTCTGCGAGCTGAAAAGTGCCACGCAGAGGGGGAAATCCCTTTGTGAGGTTAAGCAGAGCGATCGGTCAGATCTCGGAAGTCCACACTCCCCAGCCTCCAAGGGCCCCGCGAGCTTCGGCAAGTTTGGAAATTAAATTTAAGATGGCTAACAGCCACAACGCAACCCCAAAGAGTCCTGGGGGTGCTGTGGTGGGTGGGTGCGGTGGTGGAGAATTCTGTCGCGCAAAGGCACAAGACAGAGTTTTATTAGAACTTCCTTTCCCTGCATGGAACTCCAGTTGTCAGAGTTCCTTGAACGAATGGTAGAACAGTGTTCCCTCTAAGCTGAGTTAGTGTGAGCTGGCTCACAGTTTTTTAGCCTCCAACTCCCACGTTCTTGTCTCCGCTCAGGAAGGAGGGCTCCAGAGCAAACTAATTTACGCAGGAGCCAAAATGCTCGCTGACAACTTTAACGCTGGGAGCTCGCCAAGTAGAATTTTTGCTCACAAGACTCCACAGCTTAGAGGGAGCATTGGTTACGTGTCCCAAGAAAACTTTAGGCTCGGCCTCTGTCCTCGTTGTGTTTAAGTGACGGTACACTGGAAGAAGGCTAGGGCCAGGAAACAGCCGATAACTTGAACAAAAACACGGTGTACGTGGTACAGGCTCAAAGTCTTTTGCTTGAAAAAAGATCACGTAACAAAAGAATGGTTACCAGTGATGATGGGTGGTTAGCACGGTGGTGAGCTTCACGCCGTGTTTCCTGACCGCATCCAGAACCTGCAGACATGGGAAGAAATGGAATTGTTAATGCTGTTATGTGTTCCGTTGCAATCAAATTCCTCTTAGCTCTTCCCCGGGGAAATGAGTGGAACTCGTAGATGGGCACGAACAACCACACAAAGAATGCAGTTGGTCCCTTGGCACACTCCCTGTCCTGAGGAATATTCCCGAGGGATGTTCTGGACAACGCTGCATCTGGCAAGTAGGTTAAGGAAATCCCATGAACACACACGGAGATGCCTTGTACCGAATCCGACCCCTGGTCAAGGTCAGTATTGTCTACTCAGACTGGCAGCAGCTCTCCAGGGTCTCAGGCGGAGGTCTTTCCCGTCACCTCCTGCCTGGTCCTTTTTAACTGGAGATGCTGCTGGGGATTGAACATGGTTCCTTCTGCATGCCAAGCAGAGGCTCTGCCCCTGAGCCACAGCCCCTCTTGACAGCTCTCCAGGGTCTCAGGCGGAGGTCCTTCCCATCACCTCCTGCCTGGTCCTTTTCAACTGGAGATGCTGCTGGGGATTGAACCGGGGACCTTCTGCGTGCCAAACAGAACTCTATCGGGGGGGGGCTGCGGCTCCATGGTAGAACATCTGCTTGGCATGCAGAAGGTCCCAGGTTTAATCCCCGGCATCTCCAGTTAAAAGATCAGGTAAGAGGTGATGTGAAAGAAGAAGAAATTGGATTTATATCTTGCCCTTCACTACCCAAAGGAGTCTCAGAGCGGCTTACAATCTCCTTTCCCTCCCCACAACAGACACCCTGTGAGACAGGTGGTGGGGGCTGAGAGCGCTCTTTCGAGGACTGCCCTTGAGAGAACAGCTCTGAAAGAACTTGTGACTGACCCAAGGTCGCCCAGCAGCTGCGAGTGGAGGAGTGGGGGATCAAACCCGGCTCTCCCAGATTAGAGTCCGCCGCTCCTAACCACTACACCAAACTGGCACGCTGGCAACCAAATGACATATTACACTTATATCCAATAACGCTGCAGGTCAACTTATTGGGCAATATTACGGTTACTCTGCAGTCATCGATCGACCAATCACAGTGGACACCCATGAAGCTCCCTTCTGCTAAATCTGGCCCTCAGTCCATCAAGGTCAGTCCTGTCTACTCAGACTGGTAGCAGCTCTCCAGGGTCTCAGGCAGAGGTCTTTCCCATCACCTCCTGCCTGGTCCTTTTTAACTGGAGATACCAAGGATTGAACCTGGGACCTTCTGCCTGCCAAGCAGAGGCTCTGCCACGGAGCCCCCTCTCCCGTACCTTCTGGGGCTGCACCGGGTCAACAATGGCCGCCTGCTTGGTTTCTTCATCGATGATGAGGTACATGTAGTTGTCCGTCAGCGCCGGGAGGATCTCCACCTTCATGTTGGCCTGAGAGACCACCTTGGAGGGCCTTCCGGAGAATTCCGTATGGAGGAAGGCGACCCGAAACTGAGGCAGACCTTTGAGGGGACAAATGAAAAACGGCGGCCCGCTTAGACCGGGCCAAGGGCCAAGCCAGGACCGGTCGTGGCCGTTATGCCGTGAGTCACACTGAGTCTGGGACAGAATGTTACTTAGCGCTAGCGGAAGACAGAATTTTGGGACCAGCGGCAGTTCAACGGTCAGAACACGAGGCTTTCAAGGAAGCGGGGACAGTTAAAAGTAGCGTCAAGACAACCGTTTGGGGGTTCAGTGACTCAGAACTGGGCAGGACACGAATGCTTCCACGAAGAAAGCACGGGTATGCCCCTCGAGAACAGAGTCCGAGACTGGTGGCACCTTTAAAACCAACAAGACTTTATTCAAGTTACAAGCCTTTGCATGCATGCACACTTCTTCATATAAGCTTATAAGGAGCCTCAAGTGGTTAAGACGCTGAACTGCAGGCTGTGGAAGGTCAGTAGTTCGGCAGTTCGAGACCCGAGTGTGCCGCAGGATGGAGTGAGCTCCCGTCTCTAGTTCCAGCTCCTGCCAACCTAGCAGTTCGAAAGCAAGAAATTGCAAGTAGATAAATAGGGACCACTTCGGTGGGAAGGTGACAGCGTTCCGTGCGCCTTGGTGTTTAGTCATGCCGGCCACATGACCACGGAAACGTCTTCGGACAGCGCTGGCTCTTCGGCTTTGAAACGGAGATGAGCACCGCAACCCTAGAGTCGGACTCGACTGGCTTTCGAGCAAGGGAACCTTTACCTTTTTACACTTCTTCAAATACACAGAAATGGAAGTCGCTACAATGATTTAATTTTCGCGCAGAAGTTCGCTCATCTGTTAAAGATGTAATCTCTTTTATTGTTAATAGATTATCGCTAACTTTAGGGAAGCTCTTGTTTATGCTTTAAAGAGAGCATCTGTCCCAAAATCCTGTAATATTGATGTTTTATTGCCTGCTCCTATATTTGAAATATGCAATACATTTGGCAATACGTCTGATGTGACTTGCTGTACATAACAACTCGTAATATTTGACAAACTTGATGAATCCGTATTTTCCCCTACCCCTTCTTCCGTACTGTGTCCCACTTTTTTTTTGTTGAGAAAATAATAAAATATTTAATTAAAAAAAGAAGGAAATGGAAGTTGCCAGGCCATACATAGAGGCAGAGGGTGAGTAGCAAATTAGCAGACAGCATAATAAAGGTGTTGAACAGATGCCAGGACCCAAACTGGAATAACGTGTCCCCAGGCCCCCGGACATCCATTTTTAAATTTTGTGGTGCTCCCTTGGGGGGGGCGTGTCTGTGCGGGGTGCCCCCTGACTTATTCAAAGGCCCCCTGAATTTAAAAAGTCCTATGAGCCTGCACATCCTTCCATCCCTCATCTGGCCGCCACATCTCGTTTTACTAGTTTTAATAAAACAACAAACCAAAGATCGGAAACGTTCAAGACAAATTCCGAGCGAGACTGCAAACTGTTTTGAGGGCTTCCTCCAACCTCAGTTTTTGAAACACTCCGTCAGCGAGCTGGGGGAATTCCACCCGAGCCTCTTCCGGGAAAGGAGAGACCCAGCCGCTTGGCCGCAACGATGCTCCGATATGACATCGGACACAGCCGAAGTACAAACGGCACGCCTCCCTTCCTGGCAAGCCCAACCACACTCAGCGGGACTTACGGCCAAGGAATCCGATTAGGACTGAGCCGAAAGCGTCATCTGTAGAGCAAAGGAACTCTGCCTTGGCACAGAGTTCCGTCACGTTTCAGCCGATTGAACGCTCTCTGAGTGACGGGGCCCGGCCCGGGCGGTTCGCCACGGACGCCATCCCCATCTATGCCAAAGACCACTCATTCCTCGCCCCTTCATAGTTGCAGCTACCTTTGGAAGGAAAAAGGCAGGGCTGTAAGAAAATGGAACGGATAGACTAGAGAGGACGGCGACCAGTCCCAAGGTAGAGACACCAGGACAGTGAGGAGACGGGAGACCAAGGCCTCTGAGGAAAGGCTGAAGAAGCTGGGTATGTTTAGCCTGAGGAGGAGATGACTCAGAAATGGTACGGTGGCCATCTTTGAGTATCTGACGGGCTAACCTTGAGGACAGCTCTGAGAGAACTTGTGACTGACCCAAAGTCACACCAGCAGCTGCACGTGGAGGCGTGGGCAATCAAACCCGGTTCTCCCAGATTAGAATCCGCACTCTTAACAACTGCACCAAACTGGCTCTCTTAGTCCTTCAGATTCAGCCTGGTGTTTAACAATGGGGGGTGGGGGTGGTCAAGTTTATTTTTATCCCAAAAGGGTTTGGGCCATCAGAGTTCTGCCATACCCCAAACCAACCAATCTCAACAGCTCAAGGGCCAGGAAAAGGCCCCGCTGGTGGACCTCTTGATGGCCCCTGGGTTTTGGGCACTGTGCGACATAGAGTGTTGGACTGGATGGCCCACTGGCCTGATCCAACATGGCTTCTCTTATTTTCTGATGTTCTTACGTAACTCGACCAAGAAAACAAGCGGCAGGGGCAATGAGAAATGCCAGCTCTTCCGAACCTTGACCGGGTGCCGTTCCACCAGCTTCCAAAGTCTGTTTTGCTTTCAAGAAGGAGCACCGATAAGTATGACAGGAGACAGACAAGACTTTCGCACAGCGTCTGTACAGATGGCAACGCTGCCGGCTGCTGCGTAGATTAGACACTCAGAAACCGCAGAAAGGGGTAGGCAAGTGCTCTTCACCCATATGCTTATCACGGCCAGATCCTGGGTGCCCCACGCCACGAAACTCAGATGTGCCCCAAACAGACTCTTGGGAAAAGCCCAGTTACGACTTAGTACACATATTTTGGGCAACTTTGGAAAACGGAAGGCACTGGGGAGGAAAGAAGCCATTAACTGAGACCCAGTTTGGTGTAGTGGTTAAATGTGCAGACTCTAATCTGGGAGAATCGGGTGAGATTCCATATTCCTCCGCTTGCAGCCAGCTGGGTGGCCTTGGGTCAGTCGTAAGTTCTCTCGGAGCTGTTCTCTCAAGGGCAGTCCTCGGGAGAGCTCTCAGCCCCACCCACCTCACAGGGTGTCTGTTGTGGGGAGGGGAAGGGACAGGAGATTGTAAGCTGCTCTGAGACTCCGAGTGAAGGGTGGGGTATAAATCCAGTCTCTTCTTCTTCTAGAAAAAGACTTGCCGGGAAACAGAATTGAGAAGCAGACTGCTGCATGGAAATGAACCAACGGTACATACTCTTTTCTCCCCAGCCTTTGCTAGGGCTCAGGGCCTGAGGAAGTCCTGGGGCTCGAATAGGCACCAGAGATGCAGTTTTCCCGCTGTCAAACCTGCTGAGTGTGTGTGCTGGAAAGGTGGAGGCTGCAGGTGGTCAGTGGTGAAAATAAAATGTGCTCTGTGTACGCTCAGAGGCCCTGTAATACTGACTTGCTGTTTCCGCTTGAGAATTGCGTGCCGCAGACGCTAGCCACCGCTGGGCACGCCTCTACGTTCTTCATCTGTAAAATGGGCCTAATACTTCCCCAGAATCATATCATGGCCATACAGCATGCACATATCTGCTTGTTATATCTAGCTGAGCGATCCTCTCTGCTCAAGTCACCTGCTCATTCCGCGCTTTCGTTCCGCGCCGGTGCTCCACGCGGGCACCAGAATGTCCCTATTTCCGCCTGTGGGATGGGGACTTCAATAATGCTTAACTTTGCAGCCCCAGAGAGGCCAAACATGGGTGCCGTTTGCTCCCAGAACTTCTTTCTGGATATTCTTCCTAAAGTAAAGCTTGTAGCACGGCCAGAGAGGGAAGGGAAGGTTTTATTTATTTATTCATTTATTAGATTTTTTCCCCCACCCTTCCCTGCAGGCCGTCTAGTTGCACCTCCTTGGTAGCACGCCCTATTGAATGCTATCAGTTACACCCAAGAAAACACACCTAGATGTTTCCTGATCTAATTTCTCCCCCGCTGAAAAGGTCATCAACTAACTTTTCACTGTTTCCCCTTTGTGCTGTTGGTTAGAAGCACTGCACAAACGCATTCATGGGGGTCAATATTGAGAAGAAGAAGAAGAGGAGGAGGAGGAGGAGATTGGATTTATACCCCACCCTTCACTACCCGAAGAAGAAGAAGAAGAAGAAGAAGAAGAAGAGATTGGATTTATACCCCGCCCTTCTCTTGGAGTCTCAGAGCGGCTTACAAACTCCTCTCCCGTCCAGCGGGACCTTAGAGAACCAATGAGATTTCGGGGGTTTAAAGGATCAACGCTCCCTTCGTTGGATACAAGTTGGAAAGATGTTGGGAGCTTTGACTCCTTAAGCACATATCCTAAAAATCTGATTGGTCTATAAGGTGCTATTGGACTCAAATTTTAGAAGAAGAGGAGGAGATTGGATTTATATCCTGCCGTTCACTCGGAGTCTCAGAGCAGCTTACAAACTCCTTTCCCTCCCCTTCCCCAAAACAGACACCCGGTGAGGTAGGTGGGACTGAGAGAGCTCTGGCAGAAACTGCTTTTTTTCCAAGAACAGCTCTGATAGAACTATGGCTTGCCCAAGGTCATCCAGCAGCTGCGAGTGGAGGAGTGGGGATTCAAACCCGGCTCTCCCAGATTAGAGTCCGTGAACTTAACCACTACACCAAACTGGCTGTTCCACTGGAGACCAATACGCCTTCCCCCGGAAATTATACGGACTGTATTTCATTTTCTGTGCGGAAGACAGAACTCTGATTAGGAATACCGTAGGTGTCATTTCAGGTATTCCTGTGTCCTCTGGAAGACCTTGACTTCCCATTTGCAAGGGACGCAGGAGCATTTCACCTGCGGGGTGTTCCTTCAGCACAGGCAATTTACTTTCCGACAGACGGGTAAATCTGGAGAAGTATCAGTCTGCCCGTATTTCCTTCCACAAGCAGGTTAATTAACACATGCCCAATGCCACAACAAGCCACTGACTCGCCTTAAAATATGCGGCCTGACTAGTCGGCAGGTGCGCCAATAAAGGCCCGAGATCCCTCCAAAGCGCAAGACCAACAGCCCGACTTTGCATCAGGAACAGAGAGAGATTACTTATTAACCCATCGCTCGCAAACACGACCGAATTTGGGCTCTGACGCGTGGAGTAAGCTTATTTTCACTTTGCAAAGCGCTTTGGTTGGCCAGCGTCACCGACTCTCCGGTCGAGAGCATAAAGATGCTGACAGGAGACACCGTCCAAGATTATTGTTTTGAAACAGCATTTAAGCTTCACACAAAGTGTCAGGAATTCCAGGCACGCCCCGCTCCATCATAACTTGCATGCACATTAAAAACAACAACTCTACATGAGCTAAACAGAGCACTGGCGTTATCTGTGGGGGCATCGCTACACAGAAAAGCTGGGACATTTGGAAAGGCTAAACCTAGGAGGCAACACGGCTCTTTGCAAGGGGTCTTGGGCAGAGTTCCCTCTAAGCTGAGTGAGTGTGAGCTAGCTCACAGGTTTTTTTAGCCTCCGGCTCACACATTTTTGTCTCCGCTCGGGAAGGACGGCTCCAGAGCAAACGAATGTATGCAGCAGCCAAATCGCTCGCTCACAACTTTGATGCCAGGAGCTCACAAAGTAGGATTTTTGCTCACAAGACTCCACGGCTTAGAGGGAGCGTTGCGTGGGGACAGGATAACACGGCTAGCCCGGTGGCATTTAAATGCAAGCTGTGCAGCTGGAACCACTGCGATCGGTTCCGAGAAGTCACATTCTGTCCTTCTGTGATGATACAGCAAGGGACTATCGATTGAATGCTGTCAAATGCTGCGTGGGAAGGGGCGTTCGCTCCCACATAATCCCCCCCCCATGAGTAGGAGAGAGGGAGACGCCCAGGGCTTCCAAATCAGCTGATACAAAATGGGACTATCGCCAGACAGGACTGCATATTCCGGGGGAAACCAAAGACTCTCTAAGATCGCTGCTTCTCTGACCCGAAAGCCAACCCCTCCCCAATTCTGCACGCAAGGGTTAGACCCTGCACACAAGAAAGTCACTCCGCCCTCGCTCCAAGGAGCCCGAATCGGGGCAGCAACGATCAAGGTACCCCTCTCCCCGGTCATTTCCCCCTCACCTGTTTGGGAAGTCTCCCTCTACAGAGTCGCCGCGGAATGCGACAGTGGCAAATCCAAGAGCTGGGACAGCTTTCAAGGACGAGCCGGTTCCAGCCAAAAAGCAGATGAGAAAAGCTGCTCTGAGACGCTTTGCAAAGGCAAATAAGGCCTCTGCCTCCAGCCAAGTCTCTGACGCTGTGTGCCGCAGCCCAAAAATGTGCTGACTCACAAAGGAGTAACCTCCGTGGTGGTGGCACTCTGCTGACAGGGGTGGCTCTCCAAGACGGAGAACTTGTTTCTCGCCCGAGACGTGCGTGCCCTCCCTCCCCGTCCCCCCCTCAGGGTTGCTTCTCTTGTGGTGTTTAAGGAGTAGAAGAGGAGACTGGATTTATACCCTGTCCTTCACTACCTGAAGGCGTCTCAGAGCGTCTTACAATCCCTTTCCCTTCCCCTCCCCACAACAGGCACCCTGTGAGGTAGGTGGGGCTGAGAGAGCTCTCTTGAGGAATGCCTTTGAGAGAATGGCTCTGAGTGAACTTGTGACTGACCCAAGGTCACACCAGCAGCTGCATGTGGAGGAGTGGGGAATCAAGCCCAGTTCTCCCAGATTAGAGTCCGCACTCCTAACCACGACACCAAATTGGTTCTTGAAGGCGCATGAAGAATTCTCCTGGTCCCACACAGACACTTTGGGGTGTGCGTGAAACTTTAAATGTGGGTGGGGGAGATAGCTTCACACCCACAGATCACCGCAGGGACCCTTACGACACTCCTGAAGGGTAGTCCGGTATTGTATCTGGGGTCACACATGGTTAAGTTTACTAGCAGTCAATGCTCCCTCTAAGCTGTGGAGTCTTGTGAGCAAAATTCAACTTTGTGAGCTCCTAGCATGAAAGTGGTGAGCGAGCGATTGGGCTGCTGCATAAATCAGTTTGCTCTGGAGCCCTCCTTCCCAAGCGGAGACAAAAATGTGTGAGCCGGAGGCTAAAAAACTGTGAGCTAGCTCATACTAACTCAGCCTAGAGGGAACATCGCTAGCATCCCCGAATGGTGACTACAGATTTTTGGCTCTTACTTTAAAAAATGTATTTGACGTATTCTGTCTGCGCTGTAAGCCGTCTTGAGCTCCATAAATAGATAAATAGTTGTCCCCATTTTACAGGGAGGAATGGGCGGAGATGGAGCCCTGTCAGCTGGCCGCCTGGGGCACAGTTGGCAAAGGCCAGGAAAACTGCTGGGCCGCCAAGAAACAAAACAAGTCGAAAGTGAAAGGTCCCAGAGCGGGAAAGACATGGAGGCATTAAAAGGCTCGCCTTGTTTTGGCCGTACCAGGAAGGGGGATAACAGGAGAAAAGGCAAGGGGGGGCTGGGAGAAATATATTCCACATCAGTGCTCCCTCTAAGCTGTGGAGTCTCGTGAGCAAAAATGCCACTTTGTGAGACACTGGCATTAGAATTGTGATTTGGCTCCTGCAGAAATTAGTTTGCTCTAGAGCCCTCCTTCTCGAGCGAAGACAGAAACGTGTGAGCCGGAGGCTAAAAACCTGTGGGCTAGCTCACACTAGCTTAGAGGGAACACTGTTCCACATTAGAATTATCAGTATCTGTTGCTATTTCAAAGCAACTGGCATTAGCTCCGTCCGCATGGTCCCCTTTCCAGAAGAGCAGGGGAAAGCCGGAAGAGGACCCCAAACGCGGAAGTCTCTGTCCCCCACACGCACCCGTGTCTGCGCGTCCACACGTGTCCCAGCCCCGCCTGACTGTCACGCGTTGGGCACGATCCTGCGGGGACGCGTTTTGGCAAGAGGGTTCTTCCCCCGCGGCGGCACGACAAGTCCCAGGAGCTCCGCGGGGGAGAAGGAGGAGAAGGACCGGCGCTTAGAGCCGCTGCCGGAGGTCTGCAGCGGGAAGGGTCGCCCCTGCCTTCCTTCCTTCCTTCCCCGCGGGCCCAGGATCGGGGGGGGGGGGGCGCCCGCTTGCAAAGACTTACCCGAGCGGAGGGCCAGGAAGAGCAGCGCGGCGGCGCCTCCTCTCCCGCAGACCATGGTCCGGGGCGGCGGCTGGCTGGCTGGCTGGCTGCAGCGGCCCCGGGGCTTACACAACCGGCGGGCGGGCGCGCTCCGTGCGGCGCAGGCGGATCCGGCCTCGCCGCCTTTCCTGCCCCGCCCCCGCCAGCCAATCGCGGCCGCGGCCCGCAGGACCGGCCCTCCGCTTTCCGCCCCGACCCTGCGCGGTAGGCAGGGCCGAGCCGCCGGCCCCGCTCGCTCGGCTTCGGGCCTCCGGGCAGAGCTCGGGCGGGCCCGGCGCGGCCTGTGCGCCAAAACGCAGCTAGCCAAGGGACGCCTCTGAGAGCGCGCAGAGGGCGCCCCGCTTGTGTGCGATCACGGGTCTTGGCTCCAAATTAGGCCCCGTTTCGCTGCTCGGGAGCCTGGAAGGAACGCAGCCAGCCCCCGCCCCACTCGTGCACATGGGGCTGCCGGGATGTCCAGAGAGGCACACGAGAGCATGTGCAGAGCGCCTGCTCGCCCTTCAGGGGTGCTCTGGAGAGGGCAAGGGGAGTTGCCAGAATCTGGGTCCCCCCCCCCCCAATGGCTGGAATC